AGAGGATGAAAAGAATATTGTCAGAGAGTAGGTAATGAAAGGTTAGCAAAGAAACCAGTTATATCTGGCTAGATATAGTGTAGGAATTGAGTGCACACCTGTATAAACTAATGCTGTACCTGCTCACAAAGCATTATGGGAGAGCTTCCATTTCAGGATTTTACAGCAAGAGATATTTAAGTCAAACCTGAAACTGTTTAGAAACTGGTCCTAAATACCTCAGCCTCAGGCAACATTTTCCTGTTCTCTAAATTGTTCTGCATAGAGATTGGCTTATTGGGGCACCCAGACCGCTTCACTGCAGTATAGCAGTCTCTCTTTGGTAATATACAGATAAAGGGAATAGCATAAACTGACTAAGTATTTATTACATTTTTCATCCTTAAGAAATCGGAAGGTTTTTTTTTTTCAATATATTTCTGAAGCCTACAGACCTGATAAATATAATTCTATCTCAGCTTCCAGCAGTCTTGTTCTCCCTTCCCCCTTCTGCAATGAAAGCTAATGTAAAAGAAAAAAAAAAAAAATTCACTGCTTAACAAGTAAGAATACAATAAAACTTGTAAAATGTACCTGCATATGAGGTAGACATTAGGAAGACTTGAGTTTCTCTCTTCCCCCTGTTCTCCTGAGCATTATGGCAACAGCATTTTCATGAAATTAGATCTCAGTTTTATTTTTTTGCCTTATAAAATATCATGCAATGTACAAACAGCAGTTCCAGAAATGGACACCAGGAGAAGGAGGCGACAAGCATGTCAGTTAGTAAGGGGAAAATCCAAATGTCAGAAATATGGGGGAGAGATGAGGCAGGCAGGCGATGGATACAAATGCAGGGAACAGAGTCTTTCAGCTCAGATAATTAAACGGGTACGTAAATCAGCATGTGTGCCTCCCCACAACACGCACGCGATGCCATGCAGTTAATTACCATCCAAGTCCAGGATGAAAGTCATTTTATGATGACTCTCTGATCCTAATATAACAGCACCTGACAGATTGAGCCCCCTGGAATGACTACTCTCTTTGTATGATCCTCTCTCAGGAACACTAAATCATTCGCTCCAAGTACAGCTGCTTGTGAAGAAGGGGTGGGGCTCTATCAAGCATTAGAAACCTGCTTTCATGAAATCAGGGGCTTCTCCTGTAGGCTGCGTGGCTGCGAGCGGCCTCACTGGCTTCACAAGTGCAATTTGGATGTGGCTGCCACTTGTTCAGGTTGGCCAATTAGCCCTTCCTCTCTCCCCTGCACTGCCCTGCACCCCCACTCCGTAGCATCTGTAGACTTCTCTGGGCTGTGATCATGGAAAGACCCGTGTGTGCCAGTCAGTACTGCCATCTGGACTGTCTCTTCACCTGAGGGCTGTCTACCTTCAACCCTCAACCCCGTCTGTCAAGCCAAGCTTGGATAAGGGCAGAGCCTGTGGGGATGCTTTACCTGAGACCCAGGGAGCTTCCTCATCCTGGGGACCAGTCTGAAGCTCATTTTCACACTCTTTCCTCGAAAAACAAAACACAGCCTTGTGCCCTCTTCCTTCTCTAATTCAGCAGCTACCATCTTTCTGTCTTTCGAGTGACATCCTGTGCAGTTTAGTATTTCAGTATTCAGTATTCAGTTTAGTATTTAGTATGGCCTGTGTAGAGGCAGAAGGGGAAACAGCAGGTAGCTTGTTAACATTCTCCATGGGCAGGGTGGGTAGGAGTTCCAACAATGACTGTGAGGAACCTGTCCACTCTCCCACGCCACATATTGGAGGCTGCGGTCATCCTTTTCCTTTGGTCCTGGGAGAACCCAGCCTCTTAAGATCTGCTGCTAATTGCCTTTTTAGATTTAAATGACTAAGCTGTCCTTCCTAGAATCTTCTTTCTTTCCTTCTTAACAAACAAACAGAAATAAAAACACCCATCCAATCTTAGCAAAGGGGAATACTGGATTCACATTTTTCAAAAGAGTCATCATGTTTCCTTAAAAAAAGATAGCTTCCCCCACTAACTGCCTCATGCTCTGGTGATTTAATCATAAACCAAGCTTTATTATTCATTTCAACTCCTGCCAGGGACATGAGGTGGGAGTTAGAGGAACTCACCTCACCACCACCATCATCATCCTTGCCAGCATCCTAGCAAGTTGACACAAAGACTCCAGAGAGCCTTTCTTATAAATGTGCAGCCCTCCTTGGCCCTTCTCTCAGTGAATTTACCACTATCATAATCACAGTGTGCAGAGTGTGTTAAATTAGGAACAGAACCAACAGTGTGCAGTGCACAGAAAAGCTTGCCTTCTGCTGCAGAGAACTTGAAACTGTGCCTAAAATTTATAGTACCGTAAACATCTCTAGTTGAGAGTGATAAGTATGGCTGGATTTCCGTTAGCTACAGAAAACCAGGCAGGAAGACTCTCCTAGGGAGTTGCGAGTTATAAGATGAACTTTTTAATATTGTCCTCAGATTTGTACATGGGACACATGTGAAGGTATGGAAAGTCAGACAGTTGCAAGTAGGTACTTGCAGGAGGTGGTCATGTGAACAGAAAGTGTGCTTCTGTATATCACCATGTTTCAAAATACAAGTGAGGGGAAGTATCTGATGAATCAGACACCTATAGTCTGGACACCTGCTCCCAACGGTGAACATTGTTACATGAATAAACATACGGGTGCTTATGGAAAGGGAAAGGAACAAGACATTCTAATTTGAGAGCTAGGCAAGAACTGAGTAGTCCTTGAATCCAACTGCTTGACAATGCAGAGATTTGCACTATAACATCAATAAACAAACAGTTGCCATTGGGCCAACTTTGACTTATGGTAACCCCCTGTGTGTCAGAGTAAAGCTGTGCTCTGTTTTTTTTTTTTTTTTTTGGAAGTAGATTGTCATGGCTTTCTTCTGAGGTGCCTCATGGTGGACTACACCTTCCAACTTTGGCTTAGTTGCAGAGCATGTTAACCATTTGCACCACCCAGGGACAAAGCATTAGTAGCAACTGCTATTTGAAACATGGTTTGGTGCTCATTAAGAATCTTTGGTGGTGTAGTGTTAAAGGCATTTGGCCACTAACCAAAGTTAGGTGGTTTGAACCCACCAGCTGCTCCATTGGAGGAAAAAAAAAAAAAAAAAAAAAAAAAATCAGTGCCATCAAATCAATTCGACTCATAGCAGACCCTCCTTGGGTTTCCAAGGCAGTATCTCTACTGAAGTAGATTGTTCAATCTTCCTTCTGAGGAGTGGCTGGTGGGTTTGAACTGTCAGCTTTCTGGTTAGCAGTCAAATGCCTTAGGCACTATGCCACCAAACTCCCATGGAAGAAAGATGGGGCAATTTGCTTCTGTGAAGACTTACAGCCTTGGAAATCCACATGGTGTCACTATGAGTCAGAATTGACTCGACAGCAGTGAGTTTGGTTTTTTGGTATTGGTACTGATTAAGCTACAATTAGAAGGGAAGGAGGGAAACATGGAGACGGGGTGGCTCTCTTAATCTAATATAACTCAGTGGTAAGGAAGTCTCCACTCAATAATGAGGATTTGTCTGGCAATTGCCTATTGTCTTCTAAACACTGGGCAATGATAGTGAATAAAATAGATAGGACCTCATACCTTGGGGGTAGCTAAACTGGACTGGCTGGAGGCTGAGGGTAGGGGAGATTTCAAGGGAGGTTTTCTAGGGAACCTGTCATCCAATATGATAACTGAAACATTATTAAAGTTAGGCTCTACTGATACATATTTTGTTGTTGTGGTGGTGGGAGCAGGAATATTCTAGGCATAAGGAACAGCATATGTGACTATGTGGAGACAAGAGAGAGCATGGGATGCTCAAAGACCACAAAGTAACATCATGTAGTTGAACCTCAGAGAACTAGGAAAAAGAGTAGCTTACAGAGAGCCCTGGAGTTCTAGGCAGTTGTTTTTGATCCTGAGGGCAATAAGAAGTCACTAAAGGGCCTTGAAGATGGAGTGACATGATCAGATTTGCCTTGGGGAAAGATTCTTTCAGCTGCTTAATGGAGAAATGATTGAGGAGAGGCCTGATTCAATACCAAAGAGGAAAATTAAACATATGTAATCCAGGGAAATATGTGCCCTGGTGGTGCAAGTGGTTTAGTACTTGATTGCTAACGGAGGGTCACAGTTCAAACCTACCATCAGCTCTGGGGGTAGTAAAGATTATAGCCGGGGAAGCTCTGTGGGGCAGTTCTACTCTGCCACTGTGAGTTGGAATTGACTCAGTGGCACTGGGTTTTAGAATCCAGGAGAGAAACGATGGTGGGCAGAGGTGTTGCAAAGCAGGGTTGTGGCCTGCACACCCTCATGACAGACATAGCTGGGAATGTGTTTGTGTATGTTCATGAGAATGATAATATATCCATAGTTTGCTGTAGCTTACAGTGGGTTTTCCTATTTAATTCTCCCAAATCTGTGAGAATATAGGCCCAGTGTCATTTATGCCAGTTCCATTATACAAAAGGTGAAATGGACATGACGTGATTAGTCTCCAGACACACAGGTAGTGATAGGTGCAGTGGACATGCAGGTCTTTTCCCTCTAGAATGAGGATCAGCAAACTTTTTTTGTAAATGGCTAGATAGGAGTTAGCTTTGCAGGCCAGACTGTGTCTGTCAAAACTACTCAACTCCATGTTATAGCACAAAGCCAGCCACGGAGAGTACATAGAGTAAAAGTATTACTGTGTCTCAATAAAACTTTGTTTATGAATTCTGAAATTTGAATTTCATATAATTTACATAATTCATTATATGTGTGTGTGTGTATTTTTTTTTTTTTTTTCCAGTCATTTAAAAAATGTTAAAAGGCATGGTTAGCTTGCAGGCCACACAGAAACAGGTGACAGGCTAGATTTGACTGCTGGCCATGGTTTGCTGGGCTCTGTTCTAGATGGTCTGTAAGGAAGACTCCTGCTTGCTGGAAATGAGGGAGTCAATGCTAACTCACAATCTAATGTGTGTCCCTGATCTCTCTTATGCTGTGTTTCATCTTCAGGCACAGCCAGGAAAACGCTGCACTTTGAGATTTCCAAGGAAGGCAGTGACCTGTCTGTGGTGGAGCGTGCAGAAGTCTGGCTCTTTCTAAAAGTCCCCAAGGCCAACAAGACCAGGACCAAAGTCACCATCCGCCTCTTCCAGCAACAGAAGCACCCTCAGGGCAGCTTGGACGCAGGGGAGGAGGCGGAGGAAGTGGGCTTGAAGGGTGAGAGGAGTGAACTGCTGATATCGGAGAAGGTGGTGGATGCTCGAAAGAGCACCTGGCACATCTTTCCAGTCTCCAGCAGCATCCAGCGGCTGCTGGATCAGGGCAAGAGCTCCTTGGATGTTCGGTTTGCCTGTGAGCAGTGCCAGGAGACTGGTGCCAGCCTGGTGCTTCTGGGCAAAAAGAAGAAGAAAGATGAGGACGGGGAAGGGAAGAGGAAGGACAGTGGTGATGGAGGAGCAGGAGGCGAGGACGACAAGGAGCAGTCGCACAGACCTTTCCTTATGCTGCAGGCCCGGCAGTCTGAAGACCACCCTCATCGTCGGCGGCGGCGGGGCTTGGAGTGTGATGGCAAGGTCAACATCTGCTGTAAGAAACAGTTCTTTGTTAGTTTCAAGGACATCGGCTGGAATGACTGGATCATCGCTCCCTCTGGCTACCATGCCAACTACTGTGAGGGTGAGTGCCCCAGCCATATAGCGGGCACGTCGGGCTCCTCGCTCTCCTTCCATTCTACAGTCATCAACCACTACCGCATGCGGGGCCACAGCCCCTTCGCCAACCTCAAGTCGTGCTGTGTGCCCACTAAGCTGAGACCCATGTCCATGCTGTACTATGATGATGGTCAAAACATCATCAAAAAGGATATTCAGAACATGATAGTAGAGGAGTGTGGGTGCTCATAGAGTTGCCCAGCCCGGGGGGGAAAGGGAACAAGTGTTGCCCAGAGAAGACAGTGACAAAATGAAGAAATTTTTTAAGGTTTCTGAGTTAAATGACCAGAAAAATAGAATTACAAAAAAAAAAAAAAAAGAAAGAAAAGAAAACACAAAAAACCTAAACTAAGAACAAAATCTGTTTTGAAACAGATGAAGGAAAATGTGGAAAAGTCCTTAGCCAGGGCTTAGAGACGAAGCAGAGAAGGAACTGGGGATGGGGAGGGAAAGGGAGAATGGTGTACCCTTCATTTCTTCCAGCATCAAACTGATGACACCTGTTGTTGACACGGGGATAGTACTCTCCCCCCTTTGTGGTTCCCTTACAGTGTGAGCCTTGAAGTCAACTTGTCTAGTCTGCAGTAATGTAGACAATCACATCCCAAATAGCATCAAGAAAGCCATGAGTTTGAAAACGCCTTTCATAGGCACTTTCCCACCCAATTTCCCTAGGTCATAAAGTATGTCTGTGTGACACTATCAATGTTTATATCAGCATACACACCCAAGCACACACACACATATACAACACACACACACAGGCGTCTCCACATACCACATACATGCATATCCTGGTAAAATAACAATATTGTGCAGGTGATCACACTTTCTTTTTCCGCACTACTTTCTCAACAAAACAGAAAACAAAAAACCAACATAAAAAAAAAAAAAAAAAAATTGAGAGCAAGAATGGAAAGAGTGAAAGGATCAAGGAAAAAAAAGAATACCAAGTTACATTTCGTTAAGGTGCTTATGATCTTAGAACTATGCAACCTAATAGGTTTGAAACTGTTTACCTGAGAGAGAACAAAAAGAGAGACTTTTTTGTATTGGAAGTAACCTGATTAATTTTTATTTTCTTCAAGGAGAGATACTTGAAAGGAATATGTTTGTCCATCTGTTGGATCCAAACATTTCTATATTTTGTAAATGTTTTTTTTTTTTTTTTTATCGTTTACTATTTGCACTACGATGGTGTTTGACCTGTCTAATCCTTATTTAACAAGTATTTTCTTGGGGTGGGTGGGGGGAAGTTAAGAGCTGCACTTAATGTGAGCTATAAAAGAACTGCTACAGCACACAAAATAGCTATTTTTATTATTATAATTATAATTATTATTTTGTACCTTAAAAAATAGACACATACACCAAAGACATTTGTGTGAGCCTTTAAACAGTCTGTCTGTGATTGGTATCATTCACTATTAATGAGTCAGAGGTCTGGGTTCAATGTTGAGTTGGGGGGGTTGTGTTCAGGCTTAAGAGACCTGAGAAGTTTGATTTTTGACTCCTTTTACATCCATGAAACAGGACATTTCATACTGGATGTACAGTAGTTGTACACTGTTGGAAATCAAGTTCAAATTCATGAAATGTTACATGCTTGTATGTGTATATATACATTGCTTGTGCATATGCATATCTGTGTGTATATATACATGTATTATATCATGTCCATATACATTCTAAGCACTTCAGGCTGTCATTTTTTTAATGTTCTTAAAGCAATGAATGTTTGTGTGCAAAACACAGTATTTTTAAGAAGGATAGGCTATATAGTTTTTGCTTTTACTCTGAACTAGATGGGCACATTTTAGAAATTTGGATGGGAAACAAAAGCCTGGGAACTCCAGAGAATATTCAGAAAGGCCCTCTTTGGATGTACAGGGATTAAACTTCCTCCTTTTTCTTTCCCAGACCTCTACTCCTACAAGTTGTCACCTGCAGAAGAAAACAGGAAACCCATGTTAACAAAAACTCTTGGCTGATTTTTTTTTTTTTTTTCCAATTTATAGATAGTATCTATTGGAATCAATCTTAAATCAGAAGTTCTTTTGGGGAAAAAAAAAATAACTCCTTGGGCTGGAATAAAAAATTCAGTGCATTTTTTTAAAAATCATTAAAGTATATTATAAGCAATATTACCTATAGCAGTTGGGCTAAATATTGTTATTGTCTATGGTTAAAAGTAAAAGAATTTGGGGGTGAGGTGTTAAGAGAGTGGGAGGAAGGAAGAAAAGATTTAAGAGGAGGCAGTCATGGAGACAGTCATAAATTCCTAATGTTTTAATTTACAGCCCAAACTCTTGATGCAGAGGTAGTTTGTATGTATTGATTCAGATGTAAAAATGAAAGAAAGAAAAAACAACTACATTGTTTTATAATTATCAAAGTTCATGCTTGAAGCTGTTAATATCTAATTTATTCCATAGTATTTAGCTTGCCTAGAACAGCTAATAAATTATTCTATTACATGCTTTTAAAAAACACAGAGCCTTATTTTTACTTGAGTTGTTTGAAGTTAGCAAAAATCTTTAGAAAATTTGGACAAAATTGTTAATAACTAGGGAGAAGCGGGGGAATTGTAGTCGTCAGTATTCTATGAAATATTGATGCCTACATCAATTTTTAGACATTTAAAAAATTGAATTATAGGAAACTAAATAATGAAGAAACACTACAAAAGGGTGATTTAGCTCTTGAACAATATGCTAAATCAATAAACTATAATACTAATCCATATGTTGGCAAGTTCATTTAATCTCATTACAATGCAAAGGTATTTTCTAGATTTAGGGGTCCACACTTTCTTATGCAGGAAATACAACATTTCTGCATTTGGAGCTAAGGAGTGGATTCTAATCAAGACATGAGAGAGAGAACATAAAAAATTCTAATTTTCCCCTCAATAAGTTAACCATGAGCTAGGAAATCCTACATATGAGGAATGTAGGTGTAATGAGGCATGTTTTATGGAGAGGAGTCAATGGCTATGTTCAACTCTCCAAATTTTCGTGAAAAACATTGAAGCTCTTTTGAGCTGCCTCTTCTTTGGTACCAGAACTGATACTGGAACTTGTGAAAAGAGCATGAGGAAACAGTCCCGGTTCACTGTGGTGTAGCAGAGATGGTCAAGGCAGTGGAAAACAGGAGGTTAAAAAGACAGCAGATACCAGTGTGTAGTTTCAATTCATCTCAAATATGGATGCCATCTTTTTAAACTCCAAGTCCTAAATATATTAAGAGTTAAATTAATGTTTGATTAATGGCCAAAGTAATTAGAAGTAGAGAAAAATGAAAATCTATATGACAACATTTTAATTGGATATTAAATGATTGGATTGTCACACACCCACAAACTTTAACCTAGTTTCATTAAATTTATATGGCCTTGAAATAGAATTATAATTGCTACCATCTTTAATAATGTTGGAGCATGTGCAGCCTTGTGATCAACTACACTTTTCACATAGCAGCATGACACCAAAATGAAAAGCTTTTAACTTCTATTGTATTGGATATTCCATAGGCTACTTTTCCTGAAACAAGAGTGGATCTATCTGATCTTAAAATATCTCCAGTCTTTCTCCAGGGTGAATCTCTAGGTTCTTAAAAATCTACCCATATAAATCACAGAAGCTCAGAAAAACATTTTACCCCAAATATCTTTTGAGAATATTACATATTTTAGAGACTGGATTGACTATATATATATATATATATATATATATTTATCTTAAAGTAAGGAGACTTTCAGGACTCTAAGGCAGGATTTTCCTGTCCCTGAAGATCAGCCCACTTTATAGTTATTTAAGATTGATTCCACACTTCATTTTCAAAGAGAGCACCTGTATTCTCCTGTAAGGTAGAGTTGTTGCTGTTGTTGTTGTTTCACTGCTGTGGGATTGGACTTCAAGAGGTGACTCTAAAAAACAGAACAAAGATGCCTCAGTTGTATTAAATTTAGATTCAAATGATCATGTCCACTTGAAGAAATGATTTCCTATGGGCCTTTTGGCAACGTCCCTTTTTGATGCAGAGAAAATATTAGTCACCCTGAAAACCTACACAATAAATGAAACTTGTAGATGTGGGCAGAAAGTTTGGGGGTGGACACTGTATGTGTTTAAATTAAACCCTGTATCACTGAGAAGCTGTTGTATGGGTCAGAGAAAATGAATGCTTAGAAGCTGTTCACATCTTCAAGAGCAGAAGCAAACCACATGTCTCAGCTATATTATTATTTATTTTTTATGCTTAAAGTGAATCATTTCTTCTGTATTCATTCCCAATGGGTTTTACCTTCTATTTAAATGCTTTGAAAAACAGTGCATTGACAATGGGTTGATATTTTTCTTTAAAAGAAAAATATAATTATGAAAGCCAAGATAATCTGAAGCCTGTTTTGTTTTAAAACTTTTATGTTCTGTGGTGATGTTGTTTGTTTTTTGTTTTATTTTGGATTTTTTTTTTTTTTTTTTGGCATACTACATGCAGTTCTTTAACCAATGTCTGTTTGGCTAATGTAATTAAAGTTGTTAATTTATATGAGTGCATTTCAACTATGTCAATGGTTTCTTAATATTTATTGTGTAGAAGTACTGGTAATTTTTTTATTTACAATATGTTTAAAGAGATAACAGTTTGATATGTTTTCATGTGTTTATAGCAGAAGTTATTTATTTCTATGGCATTCCAGCGGATATTTTGGTGTTTGCGAGGCATGCAGTTGATATTTTGTACAGTTAGTGAACAGTATTCAGCAGCGCCTGATAGCTTCTTTGGCCTTATGTTAAATAAAAAGACCTATTTGGGATTTATTTTTTTTTATTTTCATTTTTATTTTATGTCTTATTTATTGGTTTGCCAAGACCAACTTTGCACACATATCACCACATTCTTCTCTGGGTGATAATTTAGTTCCTAGTGTCATTCTATGGAAGAATATGAGAAACAGAATGAATGAGAGAGAGAGAAAAAACAAGAACTGGAATGAGAGCTCAAGTGGGAGAGAAAGAACATATATATATTCCTGTGGCAGAAGTTTGTAATGTGCTGCAGATGCTTGGACCAGCAATATTATATTTTATTCATTTTGTCAATTCTTCCTTTCTAAAACTGTAATGGTAAACTGTTGTTGTTGTTATGTGCCGTCGAGTCAAACCCGACTCACAGTGACCCCTCCTTGGGTTTCCGAGGCAGTATCACTACAGAAGTAGGATTGCCCAACCTTCCTTCCGAGGAATGGCTGTTGGGTTTGAACCACCAGCTGCCTGGTTAGCAGGCAAGTGTCTTAGCCACTATGCTACCAGAGCTCCTAATGGTAAACTACTCACATGAAATAAAGGCCTCCCTTCTTTCCTCTCTCCCTTCCGCCTTCTATTTCCCTCACTCCCTATTACCTTCTTTTATCTCTTCCTCTTTTTTCTTCCTTCTTTTTTTCTCCTTTCCTTTCTGGCTATAGTAATGTATAGATGGGAAAGAAAATATTTAGTTCTAGTATCAGGACCAGCAGAACCCATCTGGAATCACAAAAGTAAAATCAGGAATTAATTGATCTTTCAATCCTTCTTTTCTGTGGTTTTTCTCTAGCATCTATGTCTTACCCAGAAGTTATATGAAGAAAAATGTAGCATTCCTTGCAAGTGCATATGGACTAAG